CAATCGCATTTCTCTACACCAATAATAAACAAAACAGAACCCAAATAAAAAAACACAGTTCCATTCACAATAGCCACAAAAAAAAATGAAATACCTTGGCATCTTCCTAACCAGAGACGTGAAAGACCTTTACAATGAAAATTACAAAACACTGCTCAAAGAAATCAAAGCCGACATGAACAAGTGGAAAAATATCCCATGCTCATGGATCGGAAGAATCAACATTGTGAAGATGTCCATCTTACCTAAGGCAATCTACAAATTCAATGCAGTACCCATTAAATTACCAACAACATTCTTCTCAGACCTAGAAAAAAAATTCCATCATTCTTATAATTGTAGTCTCAGTTTCTAAAAGTCAGTTTTAGCCAATATTTAAAAACTAAAATTATCTAGAATGGTAACTGGAATATGTTTTTCAAATGATCCTACATATATATTTTCTTCAGTTGAGCTTTTAATCCAGGTTGAGCAAAATTATACTAGTATTCTATGACAAAGCCTTATAGTTCTGATATCCATGGCTTTTTTCACATCTTTTTTATGATCTTGGAAGATGCAGTGTTCTTTATCATCTTACAAAATTTGTATTTTACTCTTAATTCTTTTTTGTTTCCACCTCTGAAGTCACTCACACTCCTGTATTTTGAACATTTTCCACTTTACTGCCACCACTTCTTCCTCAGCTTGAAATACACGCAGTTCTTATTGACCATATAATCATATGACTTATCCAGTTATTTCTTGGTGTAGTGGTTCTCTGACCCTAGACAGACTTGCGTTTAAATCATGATTCAGTGGCTTACAAAGTGCATGACTACGGGCAAGATTTTAATCTTTTTATGCCTTAGTTGCATCATCTGTTAATGAGGATAATAGTGCTATTTATGCCATATGAATGTTGGAAGGGTTAAATGCACATAGTACATGCCCCATAAATGATAGATTCTTGCTAATCATTGTTAGTTATATAATCTTATCTACCTGATATAGTCTTTGGATGTGTTCACTATATTCATTGGCCTCCTATTTAATTCACCATATAACCCATAGGTTACAAAAGAGAAGATTGCCTGTTTTGGGTTCATAAAAATTAATCTTTTTTTAAAAAATTTTTTAGTGAACCATCATGAGCACTATAAAAAGGCAAAGCTGAGAACGGTTTTTATAATACATATAGCAGAAATATACTAACAATTCTTAAAAACCAATCATTAAGAAAATAGAAAATTGGGTAAAGAACATGAAGAAACAATTGGAAGAAAAACAAGTGACCAACAGTTATTTTAAAATAATGTCTGTCACAAAGTGCTTGACAATTCAGATTTGCGAATACATTTTTCAGGCATATTTTGCATTGGTGGGTAGTAACCATCTTTTCTGAAATAATTCTGAATTATTAGTTCACGCATACATTTTCTTTACAGAGTAAGAAGCTAGAAATTGTGTCAAAGGTGTTGTGAACTACAAATGGGATACTCTTAGCTGTCAGAAACTTTATACAGTTTCTTTCAGATACCAGAGCCAGATATTTTTGTTTGGACTATCAAATAGAAGTGGACTGCCTGCATTCCAGGCCTTGTAGTCTAAAACTAATTCTAAAATCTGAATGACGGCTTTTGTTGATACATGAATAGACTACATAGCAGTTAGAAAAATCCTCTACAACCATAAGTATATAAGTCGTCCTTCGGTATCTGTGGGGGATTTGTTCCAGGACCTTCCCAATACCAAAATGACAAATGCTCAAGTCCCTTATGTAAAATGGTGTAGTACTTGCATATAACCTATTCTCCTGTATTCTTTAAATCATCTCTAGATAACTCGGAATACCTAGTACAATGTAAATATCATATAAACAGTTATACTGTATTGTTTAGAGAATATTGACAATATTGCTTGTTTCTAGGTTTTTACTCTTTTAGTTACTTTTTTATGTCTGTATATATTCCATATATAACTTAACTATCCATTTTTTTCTCCAATATTTTTTATTTGCAGTTGTTTGATTTCATGGATACTAAACTCATGGATATGGAAGGACAACTGTAATAGCTTTATTGAGTACTTACTATGTGCTTGTTGTATTGTTCTATGACCCTTACAAAGCTTATTTCACATAGCCATTATCAGAAATCTGTGAAGTAGATATTATTTAAATTTTTGTAGATAAGGGAAGTGAAGCACAGAGGTTAAAAAGTTTATGCAGCCGGGCTCGGTGGCTCAGCCTGTAATCCCGCGCCTTTGGGAGGCTGAGGTGAGTGGATTGCCGGAGACTGTGGGTTCGAGACCCGCCTGGGCAGTGAGACCTCATCTCTACAATAAATCTAAAAATCAGCCGGGTGTGGTAGTGCATGCCTGTAATTCCAGCTCCTTGGAAGGCTGAGGCGGAAGGATCACCGGAGCCCAGCAGGTCGAGGCTGCGGTGGCCGGGAGCGGCCACTGCACTCCAGTCTGGGCGACAGAGTGAGACTCCGACTAAAAAAAAAAAAAAAAAAAAAAAAAGTTTATGCAGCTTCATGCATCAGTGTATAGTAAATCCAGGATTCAAACTTATACAGTCTGACAGTAGGGGCCTCATTCTATGATACAGATGAAGGTTCACTCTAAAGAGCTGCAAATTTTGCCAGTTGCCTCTTCATATTGTTTGTTCATTTTATACGTTAGTCTTTTATCTACTTGAAATTAGGATATTTTAAGAATGCCTACTTCTGTGTTATACCGATATCTTCTCCCAGTCTGACTTTTATGCTATCATTTATCTTTTGTTAAATAGAAACTTTAATTTGGATAGATACATTTAGCATATGATAAATATGTGCACGTATTAAGAATTCAGCCAAGCTTAATATACAACAACCAGTATTTAATGTTATTTTTTTCAATGAGTTGCCAACATTGATTTTTTTCTAAGATATTTTTTCCTAATATTAGGTTATAGAAATAATCTATTTTTAAAACTTTGTTTTCCATATTTACTCTTCCCCCCCATACTTACTCTTTAATTTAACTGGAATATAATTTTATAATTGGTTTAAGGTAGGATTTACTGATAATTAGTAGAATTTTTTCATGTAGAAGACTAGCTGTTCCAATATCATTTATTAAATAGGTCTTTCTTTTTGATGACACCTTTATCATATACATGCATGTTTTGAGGTTTTTACTCTTTTAGTTACTTTTTTTTTTTGAGACAGAGCCTCGTTCTGTTGCCCAGGCTGGAGTACAGTGGCATGATCATGGCTCACTGCAGTCTTGACCTTCTGGGCTCAAGCAATGCTGCCTTGGCCTTCCAAAGTGCTGGAATTATAGGCATGAGCTACATGCCATACCTTGCCTCTTTTCCCTTAATCTATTTGTATCTATGCTAGTACTGGTCTGTGTGTCTCTGTGTGTGTGTGTTACATTGTCTTAATTACTATAACGTTATAATAACCTTGTTTGCTTAGGCAAGATTTTAACTGGAATTGCCAAGAATTTATAGGCATATAACTGGAGAAGAATTGAGTGAAATAACTTTTCTATTTCTCACAATCAAAGATGTTTCAATTTAAGTGAATCTATTAATATAATAATACATCATGTTCAATCAGTTCTCTACAGCTGAAAAAAATGTTTTTAATCAGATTCTAAGATTTTAAAAGGACCTGTTTATAAAATAGGAAGAAAAGAGCATTTTCTTAACGTGATATTTTAAGAAATTATACACATGCATATACAACACATACACATACACATCATAAGCTAAAAGCCAGCACCATCTTTACTGGTAAAGATTAGACATATTCCTACTAAAGTTGGTAACACAACCAGATTGCCAGTGCTACCACATTTATTTACTATAAATTTAAATGCCTAGGCATAAAAAAAAGAAAAAAATAAGGTAGAAGCAGGGGTGGTGCATGTAAAATTAGTATGGATGATACAATTATATATAGATGATACAACAAGAGAAACGAGAATTGAATCAGATACACAAAATTAATACATAAAAATCAAGAGTATTTCTGTATGTAAACCACAAGTATCAAAAATAAAATGAGGCCATTGCCTTAATAGACTCTGGTGTGGCCATGTACTCTTTGAGCTATGGCTGTTGCCATGTTTCCTGACTTTGGTCCCCTCCCCTAACTTGGGGAGGTAAATCTTCTCTTTCTCTTTCTAATTTACTTTCTAAATAAACT